TGAGTCCAAGGAATAAAGCAAGTAAAAGTGGTTGTACGGTATGGTGAATTCCAGAAGTTTGCGAGTTTGGTGGCGGTTGTTGGGAAAACCATAATAAGTGTGATTTATTTCTTCCTATAAATAAAGTTCATAAAAGATCCCACAAGCTCCATTCTAGTCCTAGAGGTCGGTACCCATAATGGTCAGTCTTTCTCTTTTGGGTGGCAGTCTTGGCCTGTTGAGATAACGACAAAATAGTGCATAACTGCTTGTGATACACGTACTCATTAATATTCCTAACAAAAATCTCACACATTTAGCAGCATCAGTATGGGTCAGTTTACTTGACGATAATATAACCAATTCCCCCCGGCCCCCTACATACATACACACAGTAAAGCACATAGTGAAGGTGCACAGGAGTGGTCAGGTATAACTAAAAACCGGTTAACTATCCAAGTTCGGTTAATCCTGTAAAATCAGCGCATACCTTTATCTTAACAAACATGATCAAGTTAAGAAGGAACTCTTATGATGAACACTTGAGTAAAATTGCTCCTTTGGTGTCAAAAGGCAGAGTTTGTAACAGTATAATAATAATCTTATTATGGTCACAAGACATACAGTAAAAACTCATCTATCACAGTTTAATATATAGTTAAAGTTATTATAGTTATTAATCCAATAAACTCTGTAATCACCTGTGACATTTCCAGGTCCCTCTGCCCCTGTGCTTCGACAGAGAGCACGTGTCTCCTCTACTAATGCACAGCAAGGTCCTTCTTGGCAGTACAGTACCTCCTCTTCATCTTCATCATCACCCTCCATTTCCCAGGAGACATGTCCAACACAGTCCAGGCCACCCTCACAGCCAGGGTCCTCGGGAATGATGGGGATAGGTTGACCAGGCTCACATCCAGCTACTGCAGCAGCAGCTGCAGCCGCTGCTGCCTCTGCCAGGGCGTACTGAATGCTGACTGCATAGTCCTCAGTGTAGCAGCTTCCGTGATTCTCCTCATAGAGGCAGCAGGGCCGGGCAGAGTGGCCAAGTACTGTCCCTGGCTCTGTCCGATGTAAAAGGCTGGAGGTAACACTGTACAAGCCTCCACTGGAGGGTGCGGCAGCTGCTTGCTGAGGTTCTGGACCCAAGAACAACGTTGTGCATTCTGGACCGGGATCCCCAGCCGGCCTCTGACAGCAGCAGGGGCAGCCCTGGTCAGGCCCCCGCCAGTCTCTTACACCTTGTGAGATGGAGCAAGAGGTATCTGGGATTACCCCAGAAACCAAGGCTGCCCCTCGCCTTTCCAGTGAAGAATTGCTGCTGTAATTCATCTCCAAGCTGCAGCTGGACAGACGGTCCCGTGAGGAAGAATTTGGAAAGGTCTGATGAGGTCTGCAATCCACTCTACCTCTTCCAAGTCCTGTCACAGATTCCCCCCCAAAACCTATAGCTTCCCCTCCTCCAGTCCTTGCAGGGCTGCGACTCCTGTATACATAAGGGTCAAAGTCACTACTAAGAGAGCTTCGAAAGGTGGAGCAGCTACCATACACTCCCTGGTTGCTAGCCTCCGTGCAGTCAAGCATGGAGTCACTAGATGATGCATGCCCCTGAGCAGAGCCTGCACTGGAATTGGAGCTACTGTCACTGCAGGGAACATCAGCTAAGTAGCCACTGCATACAGAGCGATGTTGATGCTGGCTGTGTAGGTAGCAGCTCCCACCAGCTGAATGTGGTGCCATGTGCATCACGGCAGGTGCAGGCTGGTATAACAAGTTAGTACCTGTCTGAAAGGGATGATTCAGGCCCTTTTCTACTCCTCTGGAGTTCTGGCTACCCCCTGTGGTTTCCTGGTGGTGTGGGTAGCTCAGACCTTGGAAGTAGTAGTGCTGATACATGGTCTCATATTGAGAATAACAAGTGGCAGTGTTAAAACCTCTCCCACTATATTTAGAACGGCGGAAGCCATGACTAGTTTGTGGGGCTGGAAATGGAGGGTGCTCCAGGTCACAATGATGTCCTGTAGATGACTGATCCAGTGATACAGGTCTGTATCCTGCCAGAAAAGCAGGTGTCCGGGCAGGGCATAGCTCAGGCTCCATTGGCCGTTCCACAGTAAGTACCGTGATGGGATTGCCATGTGGGCCCATGCTGGTGCGAGTTGGATATGCAGCGATGGGTCCAGTCCTTTGCACGCGTCCTGGATAATGAACTGGTAGAATGACTCTCTGCTGCTGTTGATGTCGGCTGTTAATGCTTGTACTCTCCATACATATGGCACCATGACCTCCTTTCTTTTGTTCTACAAAGAAAGAACATGAACACATTTAGATACAACACATGTAGAAATGCAGCACATACGATAAATTCCGAGGCTTCTACAGGTCCATATACACATGACACAGCATGATACATAACTGTATAGAAAGTATGTATATTGTTAACACCAGTGTTTAAAGCTAATTAAAAGCATTTTTCTGCACACTCATTTCTTTAACTAAAAGAAAAAGTCTGTTTAAAGACTGCAAAAAGAGAGTCATTAAATATAGTCATAAAAAATGTATGGGAGGAATGGGAAGCCCAAAGCACAACAAATATGACTAACATGCTATTTTAGTATGATGTTATACAATTTCACAAAAACGTTTTTTTGGGGGAGGGGGTTTTTACCCAACATTTTCAGGCGATTGGAGGGTGGCTGAAGGATGAAAAAAAAAATGGACGCATTTCATAGCTGAGCAGGTCTCAATCTAAAAAAGAAAAATAAGCTCTGCTCTCATGGTGCAGTAAAATTCCTTCATTCAGGATGTTAGGTCCTAGACAACGTATGACCATACACAAAAAGAGAACTAAAATATAAGGGCTGCTATTGAAGCATTCTACAGTGAATTGGTCCTGCATCCCACTCACCTATAATGTTGTGCCTACAATGAGGACAGGTGTGGTTCTGTAAAAGCCAGGGGTCCACGCACCTCTTGTGAAACCGATGTGTGCAAGGAATGACTCTCAGCTCCTGCATCAGACATAGGAGAACACAAACATACATTAGGATAAGAAGTATGAATCAAGGGATTGTTTCGTTTCTGACTTACAATAGTGAATAGGTAAAGTGAGCCTTACAATTCGCTTGCTGCTATAGTATGTACTGGGCCAACCATATCAGCCCAATTATACGCTACCAACCTTAGGCTCTGTTCACACCTAGGCGTATCGAATATGCGCGTTTGTCGCTACTTGGCTGTATCCCAATGGAAACGCGCAACAAAAACGCCGCAAAGAAGCTCCTGTACCTTTTCAGGCGTAGGCCGTTTTGTAGTGCGTTCAGACGGGCTGAAATAAGGCAAGGTGTGAACCATACCCATAGAAAACAATGGGATTTTCATGTTTGAGCGTTTTGTAGAGTGTTCGTAGAGCGTTGAACGCGCTACAAAACGTACAGGTGTGAACCAGGCCTAAAGCTGAAGCCAAGGCAGATGCAAGATAAAAACAGAATTTCATTAATAGTAAATTAAATGTATAAATCTTTTTCTATATAGTATTAGTAGGTGAATCCCTCTCATTTAGACTTGGGAGAGGGAGGCATAGCATTCTCCGCCTGATACAGTGATGTCAAGATAATGAACAAGTGTACAGGAGTGGAGAGCACAGGAATGACCATATCTCCATGCTGATGTTCCCTCATTGCCCAGTCAAAAGCTGGGATGAGACCTTGACTAGGCCCACTTAATTTCAGTGTATTTTGCCAAAAGGTCAAGACCTGGCTGAAGTAGCTGGCTGGTGTGCATGGACCACAAAAGGAGACTACACAGATTTACATATCTCTGGCAGGTAAAAGAGTTTAAATATATGGATTTCATCTGTATATTTACCTAGCTGCCTAGAGGACAGCTTTAATATGTATCTAAAGCCAAATTTTTGTTCCTAATTTTTCATTAATAAAATAGGGAATGTAGGAAAATACAGGGAAAATACCCTGTAGCTGTATTTTTGCTGTTTGTGTTCCTGCTGGGGAGATCCACCATCTCCAGTTGTCCTAGTGTCCATTGTTCACAAAGTTGTCACTGGAAGAGTAATAGAGGCAAAATCTTCCAATGTGGACACCCCCTAGATGGTGCCACAGCAATCAAAGAGGAACATGTTGCCAGCACACCTCGATTTTCTGCAATCAAATCACCTTTTTATTAATGTTTGTTTGTTCAGCATATCATGCAAAATGTGCTACAACTCGATCTTCTGCAATCAAATCATCTTTATTAATGTTTGTTTGTTCAGCATATCATACATAAAGTGCCACACCTTGATCTGCTGCAATCAAATCATCTTTATTAATGTTTGTTTGTTCAGCATATCATGCAAAAAGTGCCACACCTCGATCTTCTGCAATCAAATCATCTTTATTAATGTTTGTTTGTTCAGCATATCATGCAAAAAGTGCCACACCTCGATCTTCTGCAATCAAATCATCTTTACTGACGTTCGTTCAGCATGTCATACAATAAGTGCACTTTCTATAGGACACGATGAACGTCGTCAGTAACTAAGATTTGAATTCAGAAGATGGAGGTGTGCTGATAGCATATTCTTATCTTAAGGAGTTTTAATCCTTCCCCACTGTATCTACATAAAACATGGCTTTAGACATGCCTTATTAGACCAAGTAATAATTTTGTTTACTCGCTGGTTGTAAAAAAAAATTACATATGCATGAGGACTCATTCAAGACATTAGTGGGCCCAAGGCAAGGATAACATTAATGGGCTCATCTATTAAGTTTTATTAGTCAAGTATAAAATGTGTATTCATCCAACACAATTTGAATCATATTTCTTTACAACAAGGGATCACTTGCTAATGTAGTACCCCAGGGAAAACCGTTAACACCATGCTTTTCAGGCTCCATTACAACAAAGTGATGGGAAGTCCATTGTCTTGGAGGTCAGGAATAAACATCTGTATTGCAACTTTATTTAAACGGTGCTGACCTGGACTTTCTTAAAAAAGATCTTCTATGTCTTACCTCTCCATCTATGTATTTTTCTAAGCAAATGGCACAGTCAGAGGTGGAACTGCTACTAAGGGTGTCAAGGCCACTGCAACTCCCCTCTCGGGGCACTTTGCCCTTTGCTTTGAATTTTCTGGTCTCCATTTTCTCTAGTGCCTGAACAGCCATCCTGTTCAGTGAGTTCTGAAAGAGAAGAGCATTACCATCACACAAATGAAATACTGTACAGCAATATTGCAAGCACCGGCTACAAGAAAATAATCTAATAACATGGCATTGCCAATTGAATGGAGTGGTTTAATCTAAAATATAAATTACCAATATGCTTCTCTGATTCTATTTACTGGTTTCAAAGGCTCCTTATTTTAAAACTTTTAAAGTTTAGACTGGAATTCTTGTATAAAAGCCACAATGTAATCTAAAACAGTTGATTTTTCTACTGGCTCTTCCAAAAATTCATCAGGATTACAGTAGACCCCAAGCAGTTTTTCTTTTCTCATGGAAAGTGCATTAGTAAATGGTTGTATTAATATATACATCCTGCTATTCCATGCCGCTGCATTAAAGCATAACTAGAGGAGATACCTGGCATTAAGCATGCAATGTACCTAGCAATGCTTTAAAAGGTAGCAGTTACCAAGAACAGCAGACACTTCGGGACCACTTTTGCAGCAGCAGCATGATTCATTAAAAGCTACTTCATTAAAAGAGAAAAAACCCCAAAACATTTGAGGTACAAATAAGGATCAATCTGCCCCACTTCTTATAGGTCATTCAGTTTGTTTTTGAGTTACTAGAGTTTAAACATATGGTAAACCTCTAAAAAGTCAAAAGCGCACTTTTCTCATTGTATCTGGAAAGAACAAACATTTATAAACAATCTGCAGAGCTATTCGCTCGGTGAATGTTTGTTTTGTGCAAATAAAGGCAAAAATGAATGTTCTTGGTATTACTTTAAAAGTTGAAGATGGTGTGGAGGAGCCTATTCCCTACGCTCCTCAGCTTTATCTAGTGGCCATTGATGTGGTACAGTATTACAGTAAAACATTCAAAATTACATACGAAGAACATTTGTTTTCCCATCTATTCACACAGAATAGATTAAATAAAGCCCTTAAAGTGTATGTAAACCCCACTGTAGAACTATTATTTGCTTCTTTTTAGTCTGTTGACTATAACCTTGAAAGTGTTTTGTTATGACTGTTCAGTAAGTTTAGTAAGTGCAAAAAATACATGTTGATCCTGCAAGAAATCCTGATAACTTCCTGTGCTCTCTGCTGACTTCTCAATTAGCATTTTCCCAGCTATATCTGAACTACAGAACAACCCCCCCCCCCCCCCATCTTACACACACACGTTATGAAGATGATGAGTGGTGTTCTGCAGGGTAATATTGCTGCTGCTTCATAGATACTGTAATACTAAATTATTGCAGGCATCTAATCAGAGTACTAATAAGCTGCAATATATATTTTTGATATTTGGTTTAAATATGTTTTAATTCATACCTGACTTCTTCTCTGCTTTAATTTGATCTTGATAAGAAGAATAAGGCAGACCAGGGACACCACAACAAAAAAGGCCAGAAATATACCCATGTCGAAATATTCAGTTGGTTGCTGAAAAAAACAAAGAGAAAATTAGTGCAAAATAGACTTGGGGGAAGTGTTCTGTGACGTCATGTTCTGTTACTTTAAAACAACCAAACATTGCAAATACCACTCTTAGAAACCAAAGACAACCAAGCATCATTATTTAAAAAGTTGGTCAATAGAAAAGTATGCATGCACTTTGGAGGAAATTTCTCTCTCTACCATTGCTCTAAGACCCAGACATGATCAGCAGGAGGTGCAGGGGAAATCAGATCTGGGGACACAACATCCAACTCTATGTAGTCTATTGTGTATGGCTGGAGAAGTGTCTGACTGGCAAACAGCTATAGATCGCCATTAAATAAATGCAATATATAAACCGTCCATCAGATGTAGGTAAGACTCAAAGCAGAGTCCCAAAGTGGCAGCTGCAGGAAATACAAGAAATATCAACCTTTCAAGAAACCACATTGTGAGTTTTGGAAATTAAGCTTTAGTCTTGTTACTAAGGAAAAATGAAAGGTCATAAAGAGTCAACTGTGCACATGGGCAAGTTGAGGTGGAAAGTCCTGTTTGGGGATATCTCAGGCCCTGTGACTCTGGAGAGCTAAGAAATTGTACTGGGGTTATTGTGAAGTCCAGGTGGAAGGAACTATTAAATGCTATACCAAGTAAAGCAGAATAATAGGTCTGCTGATATCTAATCAGACCCTAAAACAACCTGCAGGTTTTCATCTACAACTGCAAAATGTAATAGTGCCTATTTTAGACTGAAATAGTGCCTAGATCATACTGCCTATTTCTACTGGTGCTTTGGTAGGGATGCCAAGTAAAAGCGGGGGGCCTTAAGGAAGACAGACCACCTGGTCCCTACCAAAGAGCCCTACCCCCAGTCATTCCATATTATCAGTGCCACTGAATTGTATGTAAAGTGAAGTAAATGAGAAACCAGAGCCTCCAAAAGGTTATACCAATTATTCCTCAATCTTTTACTCAAACATATAATATTAGTTTTGGGAGGACTGGCTATTAAAACACATTTATGTAAGAGCTCTCACCCGAGGAGGCCGGTGCTGAATCCTCGCTCTGGCACCTTTTTGCTTGTTGACGATGTTCATGAGTTTAATAGCATCCATGCCTTTCATGTACACAACTGGCCTTTTCAAGGGGTCCTCTAAGCCTTGGTCCAGCTGCAAAATGACAACATTATATGATCAAGAGAAACTGACATGCAATTGAAACATGCATCACCCTATAAGAAAGCACATTTGAAACATATTTTAATCTTTTGTCTCATGTCAGTAAAAATTAAAAAATGAACGGTCAGTAAAATCGTTCAGAAAGTGGTCAATAGAATTGGCAATCTGTGCTTGGAACTAGGCAATCATTCAGAAAGTTGCCTAAGAATCCTGTGGACTATGGTATCTAATGGAATACCTCTGTGCAACTTAAAGTGACATTAAACCCTCAGATTTTTTTAAACATAGAACAATACTGTAATGTGTGCCTTACTGTAATCCATGGTTGTTTCCCTTCTCTTTGCTGCTCTTCCTCTTAAATCTGTATCTGTTCTCATGCTGGGCAGAACTTCTGTTTTGCAGCAGACTGCCTTGTCTCTGAAATGGATATACGGTGTCTGTGTGCACGTTTGTAACCTGAGCCAGCACTACAGGAAGAGGCACTCAGCTGCAAAGGGAAGTTCTCCCCCAGCATGAGAAGACATGAGGATTTAAAAGGAAGAGCAGCAAAGAGAAGGGAAACTACCATGGATTACAGTAAGGCACACATTACAGTTTTGGTTTATGTTAAAAAATCTGAGGGTTTAATGTCACTTTAAGAACTGAATGTATAGTGCAAGTATATTCCCTCTTATTTGAGGACTAAAATATTCCCATGGTGGAAGGGTCTATTTAAAGCATTTATATGACACGTGAAATAAACCCAACACACAGACAAGGCATCTACAGACAACAATAAGATCATTACTCAAAAACAAACGTTAAAAAAAAATGGAGAAAATATTGTCTGTCCAAATATATACAACATACCTGTTCCACTGCGTCAGGATTATCGGAGACATCAAATATAACAGCTGTAGCACCTCTCTGAACGGCTCGCTTTGCCTGCAACACAGATAGATAGATAGAAGATTATAGAATACAAATGTCATGAATAAAGCAAATATATCTGGTCAACATATTCATCTGGAACATTATTTGTGTCACAATACCCAATAAATACCCAACATCATCCCGCATGCACACCCTGCAGAACTGTTCCCTGACCACCAATGCCAAGACATTTTTCTCCCACTGACCAGATGCCATGGAATCATTACTTTCTACTGAACACACACACACACCCACCCACGCACGCACACACACACACACACACCAGAGCATTATTTTCTCCCTCTGCCCAACACCACCAGCAATTACAGCCCACCCCCCATTTACCTTTGACACTGAGGCATTTTTTTCCCTCTCGGCGACGTCGGGGCATTTTTCCTAACCACTGCACTCTCTACACTATATTGTAGATTGCACAGTCCGGACTGCTGCAGTCTACATGCTGTGTAGTAAGTTACATAGACCAGCCCCTGTACTCTATGCTATCCGTTACATAGTCTTGATAAATGTTTTTATTTATTTTTAAAAAATTTATTAATTTGTACATTTGTCTGTCTTGTGTGACTGCCACGAACAGCAGAGTAATAATTTTATATAGTAGTATTGTATAGGTAAAAACCAACCAAATACTCTATACCCATGCTGCCTTCAAGCCTTACTTAAACACAGACATGCTGATTTTTTTCCCCCTTTCCCTGTCCCTTCTAATGTTTTGATACTGGAAGGTATGCATTTTATAAATAATGTGCATGGAGCCAATTTTTTTAATTTAAAATGTGAAAGAATAAAAAGGATGATTTAATATGGCTTACTAAACATAAACAAGTGGGGAAGTGCTGCTCTACAAGACAACTGGGTGCTGTTTTACCTTCTCACCACTAGAGGTCATGCAAGTACAAATTGTAATAAACATTCATAAAGAAAAAAGAAAAAAATCCTGCCAATGAGCACTGCTATCATGTTCTGAATGTCAGTGTGTTCTGACAGTTCATGCAATCTATTCTTCTGCTGTTAGCATTTTCACATCAGTCTCTACCACAACAGCAGCTTCAGGTAACAAGCAAAACCCATTAAAATTCTCTTCATTGGTGAATAATTAGGATCACAAAAAGCTGATTCTCTTATTTTCCCATTTCCCCTAAACCTGCTGCTGAAGTTATATCCAGTCTCTAAACATCTGAAATAAAGTTGTGCCATCTTAAACAATGGGACAATCGACATGTTGAACTGAGAAATAGGCTTTTTTTTCACAGCACCCTGAACATTAGTAAATATGTACCAGCTATCTCCAAACTGCAGTTTTTTTTAATGTTGATGTATATTTATTAAATGTATGTATATAGATTGATCCCATTCACCCCAAGTTGTTGTTTGGGGGTACCAATGCTGGCATATAGATTGTGTCTTAAAGAGGAACTGCACGTTTAGTGAAATATGGAACACACATTTGCATTACTATTCTGTGAAGATGTGCTAACAAATTGCAGAACATAAATGTTTGCATCTGTTGAGAGTTGTCAAAACTCTCAGATATAGAAAAGAGTACATCTGTACTCTTTTTTTCCCCTCAGGTTGCAGTGCTCTTGTTAGGGGGAGGGGTTAATTGAGCTCAGGTGTCTCTCATTGAGCAGGTGTATTATAAACTAGTGCATCACTCATTTACACTCCCAGTCACCACAATAATTACTTTGTAGAGAATCTCACAACAGTTCCCTGTGGAAAGGAGCTATGAAAATTGTGGCACCCCTAGCATCTCTCTTGCAAGTCTTCCCATGACAACGTTAACCAATTACTTGCTATATGCACATCGCCCTCTAGTGACTGAAAAAGACATATGCAGCCCATTCAGGACTGTGATGTACAGAGCAGCGGGGTAACTAACTACACACGGATACTGGATTTTTTTTTCTAATTCCTCTCCATCTCTGTAACTGTTGCAAATGCAGACCCCAAACATAGTATTTTCATACAGAAATAGGTGTTTCTGAAAGACTGCAAACGGATTGTGTAACAGGAAATGTAGAGTACCAACTTCACCTGCAGTAAATATTCTTAACAGGAAGCAAGAGGACATCTCCCCAAAGTGTTACTGGAACAGGTGTCCAAGTTACCTCCCTTCCTGTTGTGGTGACAACCATAACATTGTAGCTTTGCCATCACTTTTTGTCCCGTTCCCAGGACACAGTGAAGGGGTAATGTACCCAGCAGGGATATAATCTCTTTTAGATTGTAAGCCCTCAGGGGCAGGGCCCTCCTTACCATCTTGTCTTGAATTGTATTGTAACTGTAATGTCTTCCTTATATTGTAAAGCGCTGAGCAAACTGTTGGCGCTATATAAATACTATGTAATAATAATAATAATAATAATATAGACAGCAATAAAGACCTGACAGGGGTTTTAAATATTCCCTACTCTACCCAAAAAAAGAAAAAAACATGTATTGACTATACTTTGAATGTCTGTTTAGCTGTAAAGAGTGCTAACAGGAGCTCTTCATTAAGAAACCTTATCCCGCAGTTCTATTCCTTTCTACTGGCTACAAAACATAATGACTACTATAGAACAACTCCAACATGTTATCATATGATTCAGTCAGAAAACCGGAAATTGCTAATTGCAGAGTTGCCTTGAGAACCCAGGACACACAAACTGTACACAAAAACCTTTCCCTGGTAAACAATCCCAAACAGCTGTTCCCTCCTATTCCCTATCATTCACCACACTGCCTGCTGAATGTACTACCTGAATGGTCACAGGCGTAACACAGGAATTTGTCTACAACACTTCAAAGTTCAGTGTTTAAAGTTAAACGCCAGGCAGATTTGTATCCATTATTATATGCATTTGTGTTTAGATGGAAGCAATGTAAATTCCTGAATTTGACTTGATATCAGCATTGTGTAATCCCCTGTACAACAGAGCTCAGACTGGAAATAGGATGAGCGGCACCATGCACCAATCAGTTGTGGTGCATTGCTTAGGAGCAAATCAGCACATGCTAATAGAAGTTGAGAGCAGAGAGAGAGAGTGCTGCTTCTCCCTTCACTGTCCAATCACAGGCTAGGGAGAGAGGACAAGACCTGTAAGTGTTGCTTAAAAGCAACAGAGAAAACCTGGGTCATCTACCCTGTCATGATCAGCACCATGCACCAATCAGTTGTGGTTCACTGCTTATTAGCCAACAAGGGACATGCTTATAGAAGTTGAGAGCAGCAGGAGAAAGAAGAGCTCATGAGTGTGTTGCTTCTCCCTTCACTGTCCAGTCACAGGCTGGGGGGTGGGGACAAGACCTGTACTTGTTGCTTAAATGCAGCAGAGAAAAACTGGGTCATCTACCCCGTCAGTCAGGGCTGTGCTGTGTGGCAGATCTGTGTAAATATCCCAACTGGATGGACAGAAATACAAATCCTTCAGCAGTTAGAACGGCTTCCATACATGTATATTATCTGTGCATTTGCCTGGAGTTCAGTTCAAGGTTAACATGATCCTACATGATAGTACCTTCGGTTGCAAGAAGTTTAATAATGTACATGTTATAATCAATCGTGAAATGTGTTCTCTGAAAAGCCTTTGAAGGTTGTGGTCTCAAACATTACATTGTGCAGTGAAAGGGAATGGCTTACTCTTGGTTGAGCAGTGCTACTGGTGAGAGCACCTATCAAATACATTACACACACTTCATACATGCACTCCAGCATTCCACAAGCCTCACATATCCGGAACTTTAGGGCTGCTGGCTCTGACCTTGCAGGTTCTCTTGGCAGGAGATCAAAGCGGCCAAGTCACAAACAGCTCAGAGTGCAATCTCTCACTGTGTTCTCCTATTCTCCCTCGGCTCTCCCTCCCTCTGCTATCAACCTCTCTTTCTGCCATTCTATACTTTATGTTATTACTGGCCTTATGTCAACTAAGCTCTTCTCTATGTCCCCTGCAATACTTCCACATCCCTCATGCTGCCTTTGTGAGAGACTGCTCAAACTTATCTATGATCAAGTAGTCAACTGGATAAGAACTTATTAAAACTTCTACTAAAGGGTGGAGTACAAATGAGATCAAATGTCAGTGTACAGACACTGTCTGCTGGGACATTGATAATTGCCACCCGGGTCTTCTGGTTGTGAAGCAGTTAATAAGATGTTCTTCTGTAGTAATCCGCCCATGTTGTGAGGCTTTAGGGGAGCCCCAGGGAAGAAAGGTGGAGCAAAGACAAAAAAAATCTTTTGAACTCAGTTTCCACACAAGACGCTTTGCCTCTTAATTATGAATGAGGTTATAACAGGCACAAACAAGTACAGGGTGAGTCTGGGAAGGAGGGTATGGCCAGGGGTGGAAGTCTACCATGGGGAAACTTTGACCCTGGCAATGTTTTGGGACTGAATCATACTAGACGTAGTCTAATACGGACTGGAGTAGAAGTCTACTATTGGTGAGTCAGTAAGTAATGGCTGATTAAAAAAAAGGAAAGCAGCGGATTAAAAAAAAAAGAAGAAAGAAGATGGGTCGCACATTCACCATGAATTATGGGAAGTTACATTCATCCTGGAATTTGTTGGTTTTCAGATGTGGTGTAAATCTAAAAACATTGATGTCCTTGTACGGTGTGAAGCGTTCTTGTGAAAAATCAGCATTCAATATGCATTCCGTGTAAACCTGGGTAGTGTGAGACACAACCTGTGTGCAAATAGAGACATTGAATAGGACTGTACAAGATTATCTGCAAAAGGAACTTTGATCTGCAAAAAACATCCCTGGTGACTGACTGTATAACCCACCTTTGAAACATGTGGCCGAAATTAGATCAGGATACAATGATCTCAGATCTATGGGTACCTAAAAGGAAACATAGAAGCCACTGGTAGCCTCACAGACATGCACAAGGCTACCACTGCTGACCTACTATTGTGAATGCTAGCTACTTGACTGTCATGGTAAACTATGGCCTCACTAAACTACTACTGACAACTTGACTGTCATGGTAAACTATGGCCTCAC